CTGTTTTAAAGTAGAAGTCTCATCTCAATTTGTATTTTCCATTTTATTCTTCTAATGTCCAGCTTCCTTGATAAATGCTTTTAATTTGTCACTATGTTGCAGAATATTATTGTCACCTTGCAGTAAGAATGTTTAGCTTATCAAAATTGTCACTTAAATGTGTTAACTATTATATTGAAACCACTGTTGATAAAAACAAGTGTACACTGTAGTGCCATTCCTCAGTTAAATTCTGATAAAAGTTCATTTCAAACATGACAAAACATTTGCTCGACTCAGCCATTTGACTCAGGTAAAACAAAGAAGTATATTACACTCATAAAACTTTCACAGAAGTCTTTTCTTTATAGGCCTGGTTTTTGTATAGCTTACAGTATTTATATATACTCATAGAATTGTCTCCAGTGAAGGGTTGAAATCTTCCCAATCAAGTGTTTGCTTATTAAATCTCTTATTGTGTCCAAATCCCAATAAGAGATTCTTGATGTCTCAAAAGCTTGAAGTCATTTGTGATAACCTGAGATACAGCTTGTTCCAGCAGTACATATTCCCACACAATTTGCATTCATATAATTTTCAATATCAAAAAGATCCTGGCTTTACACATCCCTAATTTCATTCCAGAAAAACACATTATCATTTATTTTACTCTAAGCCAACAGATCTAACGTGTTATTAAATAAGTACCCTTAGCACTATCCATCATCTCTATCTAAATGACAAATTGTTTTTTTAGCTTTTCAATTAGTCATTTATATCTCTGTTTTATCTGTGATGTTGCATAAAATATTGTAATTAGACATAAGGATACTTAAATCTGTTTCACACTAGACTCCCTTAACACAGATGCAACTATATCAATAACAGCTGGAAGAATGAAACTTTTTCAGTTGCCTGGAGAATCTTTATCAATTCTGAATGCAAGAAACAAGACACGACTTTGAAAGGATGGTCATATATTTATCTAAACTTGTACCTTTTTTCATTTCATCTCTTTGAATTAAAAATAAGATTTGTTAGGTAAGTCTGAATAATTTATTTCCACAATCAACACTAATGGAAGATTATATTACTCATTAACTTGTGGAAAACATTATACTAAAATGTAAGAGACGAATAATGTATGGCATCATTTTAGGGAAAAGTGTATGTTTCTTGTATTGAAATAACACTCTTCTGATTCTTCTAATTTTTAGTCTAGAAGCAGCAAAATTTGTTTTGTTCTAGCACATTCAATTGATAGTATTAGCACTAACATTTAGTAAACTTTTTAATGTTTTTCCACCTTTATTTAGGTATATAAAATTAAGAATCATATGTACATATAATAAAAAACATATAAATATAAACCAGTGGTAAAAATTTCTCAAAAGGGAAAGGCAACTATTTTCATTTATTTAGTATCCACACGAAGACTTGGAACAATCATCAGCTCCCTTCTATTCTCTAACGACATCTAAGTATAAGTTCCTAAAATAAAGCAGTTCTGTACATATTTTTTTGTTTATAGCTTCCTTCACTTCTTTGAATTTTCCTTATGAAGAATTAGCATTTATAAACTGCTCTGGATAAGGATCAGTCTTGTACTCTGTGAAGTGCAATGCCCATCGATGTGCATTACACAGAACTAATTCTGCCTTCAAAATCTCTGAGCAGTTAGCCATATTCCCAAGAGTCTCTTTCAGGCACTTTTCATGTTCACAACTGTTCAGCTTCAAGAATGATACAATATGGATAGCTCTTGGATCATCTCCTGGTTAAGTCTTTTAATCTCAGATTCTGTACTATTTTCTTGCCATGCTAGATTGGGGGAGGGGGGTGTTCTCCCCACTTAAATGGTTCAAATACATCTTTCTTGATAAAAAGCTTTTTATGCTATGCTGATGGTTTACTATTGAATATTTTGGAAAACAATTTATTTTATTTCCCATTCCAAATAGGATTAAAGGACTTGTTCTTTAATGAAATGTAACTATTAAATTTCTTTAGACTTTAAAAGTGAACACTTTAAACTATTCGTATGTATGTTCGAACTATATGTATGCTGTAATCTATGGTAATTTGGATAAAACATAATTACCTTGTTATATTTTTTTAAAATTAATGCTTATTCTCATTCCCAATAATTTTGTTCAGTGTTTCAGCCACTTCTTCATTTCTACCTCTCAAGTACACCATACAACATATTTCACATACTGTTTGCCTATATCATTTAAGCATATTTGACTAAATATGAATGTTTTAAGTCTTGTTTCCCTATAGTTATTTTCCAGTTTCTCTTTTTTTAACCTGTACTTGGTATATTTAAGACCAGACTAGTGCACTTTTCAGCAATACACTTTTGACTGTGTGTTTCTAACTGTATGTTCCTAACAAACGGAGTATGTGGGTTATTGCAGTATTATTATTATTATTGTTGTTGTTGTTATTATCATCATCATCAACAAGTCTTCTTCCAGATTGTAATTCTCTGGTCGTACGTATATTTTTCCCATATTATTTAAAGCATGTGCCTCAGATTTTATACAAAGGGTTTTTTGTTTTTTGTTTTTGCTTTATAAAGAAATGTTAGAAAATAATCTCTAGGTAAGGCGATTTTCTTCAATCATGCAAGAAAACCCCAAAATTTTATTCTGATTTTGTCTCATTATTTTAAGCATCCTTCATAAATGTAACTTTTATAAGAATGAAAAGGGCTGTGTATTTTCAATTTTCTCCCATTCTAAAATACTACCACCATCACCACTAAAAAAAAAAAAACCCTTCATAAGCAAGCAGGCTTTCCTTTAAAATTCACACACACACACACACACAAACACACAAACACACACACACACACATATATTTCTGAAAGTTTCTGCTTGGGTGACTACGACTTTGTAGAAATTGAAAAGAGGTAGGCTGGGGAGGAGGAATGTTCCAGATTGTATAAGAAATGAACCTTTGCATAATCACTTTTTGCTTGTGAATAAGATAAGTGTTTGTCTCCATGCAATTGTAGCGCCTTCTCTTTAGTGGTCAAGAGAGTACCAGATTTTTACACTTCCATATTATTATGATTATGGTTCCTTAGGAACAGACCTGAACTTGTAAGAGCTATGAAGCAGATTGGTGGGGCTTTAGGCGAAGTGCAGAGGGGGGAATGTTCCCAAGCAGATGCCTTTAAAAGACAGAAATCATGAATTTCTTGAATTGCAGCCACTCTAGGGGTGGCTACAATGTCTTTTTGACAGTGACAGTAATTCTGCCTTGTCCTTTCGAGCCGCTCTTCGGCCCATTCATTCCAAAAAGCTGCTTAAGCGCACTTAAGCGCATTAGCATTTGGATGCTTGGGGACCATATTGACCCTCATTTGGAAGGTTTAAATGAGTGAAAGATGGAGCGATTTGTTAGGGCTTTAGAAAACCAGCTTTAGAGAGAGGTGGGTTTTCCGCTTTGGTTTGTTTGGTTGCTTGTTCTAATCTGGTGCACTGTTTAAAGGCGACCAGACTGATTTGTGACACATGAGTCCAAAAGGCTATTTTGGGGGGCTTGACCTGATTAGCTAATTTGTGCTTTGAATTTCAATGGTTGGTATCTGAAGGAGAGGCACTTTGGGAATGGCTTGTTGGTGGATGACCTCACAGTTAACGGCATACAGACACAGATGGCAAAATGTTAATTACTTGTCAAAAGAGACAGAATGGGACCCAAATCAAATTGTGAAGATGAGTGGAAAAAGTGATTAGTTGTGGGCTAAATGAAACAAAGTTTTTTTTTTTTTTTTTTAAGCAGTGGTTGCTCCCAAAATCTTAGTGTGCCACCTTTTCTCTTGCTTCTCTGCCGGACAAGGAATACTTGGAGTTAGAACCACTTCCGGTGCTCTCAGTAGCTATTCTAACAATGTTATGGCTTCTAACCATAATTCTGAATGGCCAGAATTTAGAAAAATTCTGAATGGAGTTTTGAAAGAAAGAAGACTTTTAGCCAGATTGTCATGTTGATGTTCATACAGCAAAATAAAAATAATAACAGAAATGAAATGTCTTTCTTTGTCTCAGATTCTGTATGTATTATCAAAATGAGAAACTCCATTGCTCTCTCCACACTTCTAGTCATATAAATAGAAATAGGTTTTAAAGGATATCATCTAGGCCAAAAAGAAAGATTCAAAATTAGATGGATTATACATAGAAAATCCCAGAGACAAATTTTAGTTAACTCCAGGAATACATGAATGGGAAATTAAGAGAACCATGCCCAGGCAGAAGAGAAAGCATTGAGCTAAATACTTTGAGTACTCAAGCAGTTTCTCTTAGCATTATTAGGATAAAAGAATAAAATAAGCAATTTACTCCTAATCAGAACAAAGTGTATTAAGCATTATCTCAAAGTGTTTCTTAAAGTCAAATTAACAAGTACTCAGCATCTCCACTGTCCAAATCCAACAAGAATCCAATAAACCTCAAACAGTATGTAATTTTAAAAAGTCTAAATTTCTAGGGCATTAAGGGGTTTTGCATGGAGCTACAAGTTGAAAAGCTGTGCCAATAACATGGCATAATATACTGCTTCTCACTTGAGGATTCTGCTTGTAGTACAAAAAGAGTAGTAGGCTTCTGCCCTATGGATCTGTTTATCTTTTTGGAAACAAAAACCATTGGAAAATAAAAAAAATACAAAAGTAGAAAACTAGTCCTTATACAAACTTCACATTTTAATTTAATTTTTAAAAAATAATAATAAATGAATTTAATCATGGGGCTTAAAAATTTTCTACAGTACTATCCATAACAAATCCTTAAATTTTCAAACTGCTGTCCAATTTTGAGGAAGAATAAAGTAAACTAAAGAATTGTATTCTTCATATTAATAATTGAGGATGAATTAAAAGTATATGCTTGTATATTTATGTTTTAATTTTTTGACCAAAGTTTTTAATCTCTTTAAGAATCTTTGTAATGTATTTTTGACAAACGTATTTATTTCTCCCCTATCCCATTTGCTTTTTTTAAAAACAGACACTTTGTGCAAAGGCTACAATGCAGACTATCCGGGCTGCTGACACTAATGAAGTAGTCAAACTAATATTCCGTGAATCTGATAATGACCGAAAGGTATGTAACCAAATGCAATTCTTGTCACTGAAGAGAATGCAAACACAACTAAGCAACCACCCCCTCTTATTCAAAATTCCAATAAAAAAATATTTCTTTGCTTCAATGGAGGTGACTTATTTCAAAATATTAACTTACTGAAGTGTGCATTAAGTTGTGATCCCAATGAGTTACGTGAGATCTGCATTTGTACTGAGATTATAATTGCACTTACCCCTTACTGAGTCTACCATGGTAAATCTTCAAGAAGTCTGCATTGTTTCTTGCAGCTGTTTCTCTGTGTAGATATAATGATATGTGCCAGTGAAAAAAGCAAAGTTTTCATAGGTGTTGGGGAGGAAAGCAAAGGTGTGCCTTAAGCTACCTAAAACCGAAGGCAAACAAAAAAGAAAACTTTGTGTGCCAATTCTCAGTGACAGAGCACAACTCAATAATTTATATATATTGCAGGAAATATGCTGCAAGCAAAATTATATACTTTAAAAAAAGAAAGATCAAGCAAGAACCTCACTTGGGAAACAACATAATTTCTCAAACTAGATATTGTTCAGAGAAAATCTGTCACTCATTCAAATTATATTCAATGTTCCCAATTCATTGCTGTGCAATTAAAGTAATATGCATATTAATCTCCCATACCACTGCTCCCACAACTTTTTTCTAATCTAGTAAATGTGATTTCTTAAAAAATAATGTCAACACAGCTTAGATCAATGCCTAAGACTTGCATATTTCATAAAATATGTGCTGCAGGAATGAGCTTTACCTGTACCTGTACCTTTTCAAATCAGTTTTCTTAATTCATGTTTTAAAATATTTGCAATCCTCTTATAGGGAAGCTCTATAACTATCAGTAACAAAGTGATAGAACATAGTGAAACAGAACACCTTCAGTTGACAAAGGAATAAAGCAAGGCTGTATACTCTTCCCTTATTCATTCAGTTTATATGCTGAATACATATTAAAGGAAGCTGGATTGGAAGAAGATGAATGTGGTTTTAAAAGTGGAAGAAGAAATATCAATAGCCAAAAAACAACCTTAGAACTGACAATGAAGACATGAAAGACATAGCTTCTGCCATCATCAGTAGTAAAGGAACTAGTGTCAAGAAATAGGCCATAGGTTACAGAAACTATGAAGGCACTGGAAAAGATATTTAGGTATTGTAATGTGTCTATACCGTCAAATAAGTATGATGCAAGCTATGATATTCCTTGTGACACTCTAAGGAAGCAAATGTTGGACTTCGAAAAAGCAGAATAAGAAAAATATGTATGCTTTTGAATGTTGATATTGAAGAAGACTCTTAAAATTTGGCTGATAGATAAAAACGGGAAAAAAAGAATGATATTGTATCTAAAGAAGCAACTTCTGCTCTTCTTTGCAGCAGTTACAAGCATAGAAATTACTTTCTCCACCCTCCCATGTTGCCTGTCATGGTTCCATTCTTCCCAAGATAAACCTTTTTAATCAATAAATTTCAAAATAAACAGTTCATTTTTATCTATTTTCAGCAAAAAGTCCATAAAGGCTTTCCAGTCTTCTAGAAAAGTAGCTGGAAAAACCTCTTGAGAATTCAGTGGACAGCCAAGAAAACAGCTAATGGATCACAGATTAACCCAGGTTTATCACTTGAAACACAATGATCAAGCTCAAATTGTAGTCTTCCAGACATTTTAGGTGAAGACCTAGCTCTCTGGAGAAGAACTGAGAAATGTGGAAGGGAATTGAAGAAAAAGATGACCAGCAGCAAGATAGATAGTTACAGTAGAAATGAGTACACTGCTGGAAAATCTAAAAGACCAGTTAGAAACTGGAGAAAATCTATCTCTGTGGTCACTAAGAGTTGACACTTGCTTGATGGGACATAATCAGTCAATCAATCAGTTAATTCTTACAGTAATCTTGGTATTCTATACAGCAATGTTTCTCTTAGTTACAGGGAATAGGATGTGAATAATAACCTCAAATCTTTTAAAGCAATATATGCAGCCTATTTAAGATTCTGTGCATTTATTTTTCTTTAAGTCAGAAAAGGATATAATTTAATGGGGAAGGTAATAAAAGTTTAAAAATAAAATTGCAAAGGTTTACTTATAATGATTATACAGAATTTAATTGGAGATAGTTGTTTTAGTTTTTAAGCTTTGCTTCATTTTTTTTCTCTAGGTTATGCTACAGTTAGAAAAGAAACTCTTTGACTATTTTAATCAAGATGTTTTTAGAGATAACAATGGCACTGCGGTGAGTTTCCAGTTGTAAAATTACATTTTGTAGATATAACCTTTGCTCTTAAGAAACCTGGTGCTCCAAGAAATGCAATTGAAAAATGTTCATATCCTGTTTATCCTTCACATAATAATCTTTTATTTAATGAGAACATCTTTTATTAGTGTAGTTTAATTTTTACATATCTATGCTTCTCTTTATGAAAAATGACATCAAGGCAGTACACCTTGCAATATATTAAAATGCAAACCACAATATGTTAAAAGGCAAACTAAAGTATTTTAAATAATTGGATTATATAACTGTGTTGACAATTTTTTCAACAGTCTCACTGCTTAGCTGTCTTAAGTTCTAAAGATCCTGATTTCAGGGACAAGTACATATAATACATAGATAGTATAGTAATAGTCTGAGTTGTAGATGTTTCAGGATTTTTGGGCCCAGGTAAAAAGTGCAAAACGCATAAGCCTTTTGCCATACTTGAAACATTTCTATCTTTAAAACTGTATATGTTCCTTAAAATGTGATCTTTCCTTTCCCAGGTCACTTTTGAGTAGTTTAAAGGCACAGCTGCTTAATTCTTTCTTTTTTCCTGAGACTTAAAATATTTCTGGTTTTAATGTCAGAACTGTCTGAACTTCCCTGATGGAAGATCCTTGTTGTTTTTACCATACTTATTTCTACTAAAATTGAATCCACAGAATTCTTCCAACATCTCAGTTGAAACCACTAGGCTCTTTGGTTCACTTGGCTTTGAAATAATAATATCTAGGTTCTCTTAAATAAATAAAAAAATGAATCAGTAGCTTGCAAACTGGTAAGTAGGAAGCAAAATTCCAGCCTCCAGCATAATTTGCACTTCTCACTTAGTTTCCAAAGTGTTCTTTAAAAAAATAGAGGCTATATCCAACCACTGAAAATGGGTCCTCTTGCCCAGAAAAAGTAAAGCTGGAACTAGTAAGCTCAAGAGAAGTAAAGAGTATCCTGGAGAGTCATACAATGGGATAAGAAGCAACATTTCCACTTTGATTTCTGATAGACTGGCATTTTTGACTCATCCATTCTTTTGTAATTGTGCCCACATTATGTTGTTCTAAAAATTTAAAATATACAGACTTACAACAGTCCATTTAGTGACCATTTGAAGTTATAGTGGCACTGAAAGAAAATGACTTATTATGACCATTTATCACACTTATGACTATTATAGCATCCCCATGGTCACAAACTCAGAATTCTAATGCTTGGCAACTGGTTCACATTTATGATGGTTGCTGAATTCTGGGGTCATGTGATCAGCTTTTGTGACCTTCTGACAAGCAAAGTCAGTGGGGGAAGCCAGATTCACTTAATAACTGTATTACTAACTTAACAATTGCAATGATTCACTTAACAACGTTGGCAAGCAAAGCCGTAAAATGGGGCAAAACTCACTTAACAAATGTTTCACTTAGCAATAGAAATTTTGGGGTCAATTGTTTCTTCAATCAAAGACTACCTGTATTGAAGGCCAGTGATCTTGAGCCAAAGCTCTGAAGGGCACTTAGAAAAGGCTGAAGTTGTTGTTTATCATGCCTTTTTAATATATTCTACTAGATTGTGTAGCTAAACTGAGACTGAAGGATGTGTTAGTCCATCATGTGGTACTGTTTATGGAAACAGAGGATTGTGATTCTATTTGTATCTACTGATACAGCCACTACAAAGCTTTAAGAAAACTGATGCAAATGTTATTCTTAATAATCTAGTTACATTTCTGCAGAGCTACTTTTAGGAAGTGTTTGACTGTTTTAACAGTGCCCAGCCAGAAATAATCTTTCTATTTGGAGGGAGAAGATTACACTGGTTACCAATATATTTATACATGAACTCATAGTGCTGATTATTAATTTTAAATCCATAAATTGTAACTAAAATGAATACATAGTTCACAATTGCATTCTTTTCTGCTTGATCTTTTGCCTCACAAATCTTTTAACATTCTAATACAATTTGAAATTGAATTTGAAATTGTATTAGACCAGAACATTCTAACTGAGTTGGAAGGGACTTGTAAGCCTTCTTATTCAACACCCTGCTCAAGCAGGAAATTCTTATACTATTTCAGACAAATGGTTACCCAATCTATTCTTTAAAAAGTCTGGTGTGGAAGCACCCATGACTTTTGGAGGTAAGTCATTCCACTAATTAATTGTTCTAACTGTCAGAAAATCTCTCCTTAGTTCTAGGTAGGTTCTCTCCATTATTGATATCCATCCATTGCTTCTTGTCCTGCTTTAAGGTGCCTTGGAGAATAGTTTGATCCCCTCTTCTTTGTAGTAGTCGTTTAAATATTGGAACACTGCTGTCATAGTATTAGTGTAAAAGAATAGTATTATATATAGTGTAAAAGAAGGTTGTGGGATGTGGGTATTACATATAATTTTATGGAAAGTTTAACAGTTGAACAAACTTCTAGGTGCAGTTTTGCACTTGTAAGATCAACTATTAACTTAGTAACTGTTTGACAGAATATAGTTTTTACAACAATTTAGTATTTTCCACCAAAGTCACAGCTTGTTAACATTATTCACAGAACGTTTAAATTAAGAAAGTGTAAGTAGATTCATATCCATTTCCTTATGAAAAAAATATTATTAGAAACTACAGGAAGAGAACAGTTATGTTTTGATACAGATTTCCACATTGGCAAATTTATTTTGAAGGGTGAGGGTCATTTAATTCTCCCACAACTTCAGGTGCTAAACATTAGCAGTTCATATGATAAGCCACAAACCTCCATGGTATTGATATTTAGAGCAGCACTTACAACTATTAAAGATTACAGTTTGAACTTTATTTTTTAAAAGTTACAGTTGCTTTAAAATCATCTTAATTTCACTGAGTCCTTGAAACTTCAGCAACTTAAAAAAATCTTGCTCTTTAATTAAAAAAAAAGAGTGAATGAAGTTTGAAGCCCTTTTTCCAAATAATTTTATGAGAAATGTCCATACACAGAATGTTTCTTAGAATTTAATATATTACTAGGTCTGTCTGTATATTACATTTATATCAACCTATGGTGAAAGGTCATGTGTTACTATAGCAGCATAAAATTCTCTTTGTCGCCTCTAATGCCTTTATAAAGGGTATAATAACCATCCCAGAGTGCATCTTTTTATCCTTTGCTACGTAAAGGATGTACCAAATCTTTATTTTTTCTAACATTGATTATCTGGGTACTATCCATGTAGTGTGTAAAATCATTGTGGGTCACATTTAAGAGCTCTATACAGGGTTTAATTGGTCCCCGGGTTCAACTTGCATTTTAGCAAAAAGAACTTCCTTCCACCATTCAGTAATGTTGGAATTTCTTCAGACCTCAATAATCAGAGGAAAACTTTTTAAATCAGAGGGTACTTTCTACACTGACATTAGTCTTGTCATCTATTTTCCCCCAAAAAATGAATGCAAGCTACAGTGCATACATATTTTGCTCTTCATCTCTGCCCGGAAACTGTTTCTTGTGAATTTCACTGGAATTGCTGAAGTAGAAGTTGAAGCAACATGGTGCTTTGCTACTATTTTACTTAACAGAGGGGCAGCTTTTTCCCCCCTCGTGATGAAAAGAACTACAGCAAGGAAGAAAGACAGATGGGGGCAAGGGGCTGGCTGTATTGTTTTGTCATCAGATGGAAAGAGTGGTGGACAGTTTGTACAGAAAGTCTGTGCATGATGAAAACAAGAACAATTTACAAGATAGCAAGAAGGATGTTTCTGAGGGGTGGAATGATTAAACGTGTAGCTGGTATACCCTTAATGAATAATTTGGTATCTTGACTAACAACCATGCCCACTTCACGGCTGTGGAAACATTATAGGGCATTATATGACAACTTACATCATGTTTTTCTTTTAAAGTACTGTAGCAGTTTGGCTTTAGAGATGTCAAATTCTTTTGACATACTGGATCAACCATTCAGACAACACAAGCAATAGAGAGCCAGAACATTATTGTCCACAAGAAAAAAACGTTCCCTTTACTAAAGCGGTTAAGCAAAGGGTTAACCAAAGTTCTACCTGTCAGGGGCTGATATTTGGAAATGAGAAATCTGTTGACACTCCTATTAATGGAGAGTACATATGTAAAAATATAGTTCTTATTCATTGTTATTAGAATTAGGAGTTCGTATCTCTAGGGTTTGTAGTGTCTCCTAAATAGAATAAAAAGTAGTTGATGTTAGCCTATTGCTCATGTAGATAATTCCAGCTGCATGAAGTAAATGGAGAATTCATGAGCATTGTGTAGAATATCCTAACTCAGTAGAATTATGAACATCCATAAATAAATATGAAAGTCAACATTTCCTTTTTGATATAGCATATAATTTTATTTTTAAAACAGTTTGATTTATAGTTGTGCAATATTTCAGTTTCTTCTTTTTTTAATGTTAAAAGATTATCATTTCTGCCCGTAGCAGTTCTTGGCATGCCAGTAGCATTTTTAAGCATTAAGTTAATTTTCCGTGCATGCTTCTTCACATGTTTTCCGCCAAAGATTTTTATATGGATGGGCCACTTCAGAACATTATATTTTAAAATCTGTAGCCATTTCATTCACACACCAGGAAGCAGGAAATCTTCCAGATCAAGTACAGAAGAAAAAGATAAATGATATAATGAGCCATTGGAGATAATCTAATCTTCATGGTCTAGTTAAACACACAGCACCATGATCACTAAAAACAAACTACCTATCTAAAAGGATAAATGTCCCTGGCCAAATTCAACCCCAAAAAATCCATCGCATCCTTCATCACCCACCAGGCTTGTACCATGCTGACAGAAATTTAATTCAAGCTGGCTCCTGAAAATAATTATTGTATTTTAAGAGTAGTAATCATTGGTCAGGACATGATTGAATGTGTCCATGCCTATTGACTTTTTCTATGATTTATAGCTTTGTTTAGTCGATATTCCCATCGAAATTGTATAATTAATTATAAGTGGGGCTGTCAGGTCTGCAGGATGGAGTG